CAACTATTGCTGCTCTTTATATTCGCGATGCTGATTGTAGGCACTACAAAATATGGTAATAAGCATTGGTGGATTATATCTTGGATTGAACATTTTGTGTTGTCTACAGTAAACCAAAAACGTAATAAATCGAAAACAGTGTATTTGCGGACATATGTGTATATGGACTTTTGTCTTTTGTTTTGGTGTCAGGAGCCAACTCCCAAAATTTGTAAAAATTTTTTATACTCTGTATATATATATATATATATATATATATATATATATATATATATATATAGAGAGAGAGAGAGAGAGAGAGAGAGAGAGAGATTGTTTAGCTCGGATCGCCTGAAACGTTGAAGCCAGTGTAGTGTGACCAGCTGACCTTCTAAATTTTTTAAAATTCGAAGCTCTGCGTGTAAATTTTTTGCTTTTCCTTTTCTTTTCATTATACATGTATTGAGCACTTTTTAATACTACTGTTTCCTGGTCTAATTCAACTCTGTATCAATAACTTTTATCATATATATATATATTTATATATATATATATATATATATATATATATATATATATGTGTGTGTGTGTGTGTGTGTGTGTGTGTGTGTGTGTGTGTGTGTGAGTGTTTAGATATCATATTTTAATTCAAACAAGTTTGGTTAAATAATTTAGATATATGTCATTTTAATTTATTTGGGATAATTTCAAATTCACGGATCAATTTTCTTGGTAGCCTTAGAAAATTAAAAAAAAAAAAAAAAATATTTCAAATAGTTCTTATTTTCGCAAGTACTTTCAATCTCATCTGAGACCATCTTCAAGGTATTAAATTATCTGTGAATATGTGTATGTATTTCTGTAAATTCTGAACATTTTAACTGTTCGTTTTTACTGCGTTATCAAAGTTCTAGATTTCAAAATTCACAAGTCTTTTTTTTACACAGTATAAGGAGGTAACTCTTTTCATTTATCTATTTATTTCATATATATATATATATATATATATATATATATATATATATATATATATATATATATATATATATATATGCTACAAACATTTAAGAAATTTTTACTATACTCATAAATGGTTTTATTTATTTTGGGCTTTAATTCTCTTATATAATGGACTTCTAGGATTGTAATTATGTCTATTATGATTTTTATGTAATATACATGTATTTTTTAAGCAATATCTATCTAAACTGTGAGTGTGAGCATGAGCACTCCCTTTAAATGTTGTAAAATTGATATATATATATATATATATATATATATATATATATATATATATATATATATATAATTTTGAATTTGAGCTGCAATACGACTTTTATACAAATTTCATTAAAGACGGCTGACAAGTTACTGCGATGAAGCTTTTCATTCAGTTTTGCTTTCATGAGCCTGAGCATTCTCCCCTCTGGACGCAAAGTGTACAAAGATAATATATATATATATATATATATATATATATATATATATATATATATATATATATGGGAAACTGGGATCAACAATGAGAAGTGACACTATGTTTCATGCTTGAGCACAATTTGCCAGTTTTCCATTCAAACATAAAACTCCACCCTGTTTTGACACTAGTGCCCACTTTTATATTTACATACACTCTATCCCTCATATCGTCCACTTTTACCCTTAAATATAGCATACTTCAAAAATATATTTTAGCAGACACACAGATATATATATATATATAAATTTTTTTTTCGATCAAATTTGAAGTTATCTGTGATGAAATTAACTCTGAATATATGCTTGTTTTGGATCCATATTCAATTAAAAATATTTTAGATTGATTTTGCTAATGTTGATTTTATTTGTGTTTTCTTGATATGAATAAATATTATATATTATCAATATTATCGGTAATCGATTGTCTGATGTAATATTGATTAGCTGCAAATTCTTTCTTTTTTTATGCACATTGATCCATATCCTTCACTGTAATTGGAGGTTTTACGTGTTTCATTTTTTTCTATTTGATTCAGATTAGGAAATATCAGATAGACTGAGTCGAAATTAATGTTAATAAGAAACCTTTGTAATAAGAGATCTTGAGCCGTGCTGGTCCCCATATGAACTGAACACAGACCAGATGATGCCAAAAATAGACACTGCAATCGATGTCACACCAGAGCATCCGAGAAGCATCGGCGGTTTAGACTAGATGGCGGCCTAATTGCCATCAGATGCGTATTAACGCCTCAATAGGTATCAATGGCTGCTCCCGATTAATGAAAATGTGGTCGAATCAGGACCGTTTGCGATGCGTCTCTCTACGGCAACTAGATGGCAAGTAGGGACATAAGCGCTAGACCCCGAAAGCTCCTTGTTCGTAGAAAACACCCAATGCCACAGACAGCGTTGATATTAGTTGACGACGTCTGGAGTTGAATAAACAATAAGCATAAGATATTTATTCTCGTGTTACTATTAGTCAGTATAATGACGACGTCAGAACTTTATGCGTTGTTCTCTGTGTCTTTGTGCGATTATGCTTGTGTTTACATCCTTCCCTTCTGGGCGCCTTCACAGAATCTTTCTTCGTTTTAAGCGTATCTCCTTTGAGCGATATATTTTTATGAGGTGTTGGAATTGATCGCATTTTGATTCCTACGAGTGATCTTGTTTGTAATTTATTGAACTTCGTTTTCGTCTTAGCTTTTCATGTCTGCTTGAATGAACATCTGCGAATAAAATTCGGACTTGAGATGCGGTCAGCTGCTTTTGAAAGTTGACACGAAGCCAATTTGCAGCTTAAACAGTTTGAAATAAACATCGCAGAGTAAAAGATGGTGTGAAAATAAAGGAGCTATAAAATTATTGTTTTTTTTATTTTGTCGACTTTTCGTGTTTATTACAGTCTGAGGCGAATTTAGCAGGAATAATGTTATAGTCAATTCTAAATGTTCAAAATAAAAATGATTATCTTAACTTTTCAAACAGAAGAAAATATTACAGCTTTTTACTTTTTAGTAACGTCAATTTACGGAAGAATGATTCTATGCCTACAATATATTGATGTCCAAGAATTGCTTATTTAATTTCCTAACGAATAATAATAATAATAATAATAATAATTTTGTATCAGGTTGCACGGTATTGACACCCACTGAATATAAAACCCGGCATGACAGAGTTGGCCAATATCTGTACTGGAAAGAAACTGATCGGTATACTCATACCCGGTTACGGAGATAGGACCTGTTACAATTTTATGGGACTACACAATACACACAGACAGAACAATCAATGCTAAGCGCCCAGACATTGTTATGAGAGACAGCAATTAAAATAAAAAGTGCGTCCTTACTGATATGGCAGTCCCTGCGGACTGCAATGTATATTTGAAGATCTTCAAAAATGCTATTAAAATACAAGGACCTTGAAATCGAAATCTCAAAAATGTGGCACATGGAAACATCAACAATCCCTGTTGTAGTTGGAGCCCTAGAAATAGTTGGAAAAGATTCAAGTAGACTAATTGAAGGGATTCCTGGAAGTCCATGCCTCAAAGAGATAAAAAAAAATTGTTCTGACAAGTACAGCCCACACTTTACGAAGGGTTTTATCTATTGTCAGTGGAAAATGTCATGGTGCAATTTTTAACCTTAGTTCTCTGGGCGGGACCCGGAACGAAATGTGTACACAACAGAAATCAAAGAAAATAATAATAATAATAATAATAATAATAATAATAATAATTGAAGCCTGAAAGAGAAATCTATATGTGACATATATTGTGAGCACATACAAAATGCTTGCTCAAATTGATAACAATGGAAGCACTGATAAGTTGATATGTGTGTGTGTGTCTGAGTGATAAATAAGAAATAAGAAACGTTTTTCAATCTAACATGTTTCATTTTTCTTAAAGATTCATCAGGCCACTGATGAAGCTTTAATAAATGTGAAACGTTATATATATATATATATATATATTGAGACATTTTTTATGTTTATGCGTTCTTTTTATAGATACAAATATTTAAGTAAATGCACGGTTTATAATAAACATTATTAACGACATTTACCGGCCTGAATGTCCAAGGAATATGCGTCCTCCGACAGGAATCGAACCTGTATCCTGTACGGAACCGTCATATAGCCTGACGTGCCTTAACCGATTGAGCCACGGAGGAGCGTTTCAGTTAGCAAGGTCGACTTTACTGTTTTTAAACTACAATTCTCCATGATTTTCTCTTGTACATTCATATCTGCTCGATGCGTATCCAAATGTAAACAAATGACGTCACACATTATGAAATGGACAAAGTGCGACAATTATTTCAAGACATTTTTTATGTTTATTCTCGGACTTTGTCCATTTCACAATTATTTTAAGATCTAAAAAAATGTCTTAAAATAATTGTCGGACTTTGTCCATGTAATAATAATAATAATAATAATAATAATAATAATAATATATATATATATATATATATATATATATATTCACATTGTGTCATATGATGGGAAACTGATAGAAATATCACCCTGAATTAGTCATAGGAAACGATATGATCAATATTCTTTTGGACTTTAGCATTCATAGTGACAGCCATATGAAAGCAAATAGACAAGATTTTATGATTAAAGACTAAAAATGTCTTCTCATTGACATGGATGTAGTATAAGATAAAAAAATATATATATTAAAAATGTGAAAAAAATAAGTCAATATAAAGATAATGATATTGGCAAAAAGTGTTCCTTAACATTTCCATTACACTTATAATATTTGGAGCTCTGGTTACGATGAAAAAAATTACACACGCACATTAACAATATCTCTGGTAGCTTCTGTTTTGTTTTTTGTTTTTTAAAAAAACAACTGTACTATGTGTGACTGCTCATCTTCTCAGTAGACTATTGTCAATGCGAAGAAAATATAAACATTGTACATGATAAGTATCCTTTAAAATCAGAATTTTGCAAACAGAATGCATATATTAGCGGCTTTGTATTACCCTAGTTGTCCCATAAGGAAAAAT